GAGGCCTTCCTGGGAAAATGAAGTCACTCCTGCTCCTGTTGGTCTTTCCTCTGTGCCCAAGGACAGAGGCAGGTGAGTGACTATCCCCAACAACTGAAGCCCAACCCTAAGCTCAGCCCTGCTCAAATGCTGCACCTCTCCATTCCGGCTCAGGTGCACCTCCAGCAACTTTCTAAACAGTAAGGTAAACCTCACCCAAAGACTGGCAGGTTTCATGGGGATGGAAGCACAAGGGAGGAGCAGGTTAGAAGGCTGGTCTCCATAAGAGCCAGGTGGCAATTATCCCTTCCCTAGCTCTACCCTTTCCATCTGGAAAGCAGGTCCTATCACAAAGACATTTGAAAGTATATTTACAAACAGGAAAGAATGAATAAGGGCAGCTTAGAGAAAAGGGCTGGCCTCTGTGATCAATGTAAAGCCCAGTAATGTTCTAACAATGTCCATCTGCTTCTACAAAGTTTGTCATTCTCAAAGTGCACAGGAAGAAACCTGGAACCCATTTGATCTCAGAATCCTTGGCATATTTGTCCCCTTAACAATTACATGTGCCTTAGTTCAGCCTCAGTTTCTTTTAGGTCTTTTTTTTCGTTACAAGTGGGTGTGATGGCTTTGCCAGACCCCATCATCCCTGATGCTTACAATCTCACTAGCATTCCCCTCTAGCCCTCAGCCACAGGCTAATCAGGAGCCATTCCCTCACACATGCAAGACCTTTACTGGGCACCTACTTGGTGTCTGCCTCCAGCACACAAACATCAAACACGACTCAGCATCCTGACTTTATGTGCAAAACCAGTAGGAGCTCAGTGAGAACTAAGAGGGAAACAAGAGGGGAAAGAAGACTGGGACACTTCAGACAAAGGACTGACCAGGATCTTTAGGGACTTTGCTGCTTGTTCCAAACTCAAATCCTGTCAGTCAACTCAAATCCTGTCAGTCAAATCCTGAAGCAGGAATTACAGAGCAAGGACTGCCCTGCTCTTCATCAGAGAGAGTATCTGAGGATTGTGGGTCACTCTTCAAGCCAGGAATTCTGCCTGGAAAACACTCAGGGCCCATGTTTGCTGCTGCTGGCTACTGAGACCCTGCCCCTAGGGACATGTATAAGGGCTTGAGCAGCCAGGACTACATGGCAATTGAGGAGACCAGGGGCAGGGCCAGAACAAAGAAGCATGGAGAGGGTCTTTGGTGAGGTCAACTTCCTGCTTGATGAAAGTGCTTGAGGACACAAGCCAGGCACCCAATCAGACAGAGACATCTCTGTTTGTGCTCCTAAGTGGGGGACCCAATAGAATAAGTGAAACATATGTATGCACAGACACCAATGAATAATAGTGAGCAGAGGGTGAACAGGGATAAGATAAAGAAAGGAGGAAATTCCAGAGACCATAAAAAAGAACAAACCAAAACTTCCCCCACTCGATATCAGTTCTGGGAACCCTTCTATTCAGAACCATTTTTCTGTCCCTTTGGCAATAAACCTGCTGCTTGCTTGCTTTCTCTACATCCTATTCGTCAGTTCTTTGCTGAACAAGGACAATGAACCCCACAACCCTAAATGGTAACACCACCACACTCAATCTTTCCCTCCCTGGAGTTGACCCCAGTCTCCTCTCTTCAGCCTTTGGCTCCATGATCACCAAGGGCAGGACAGAACCTTTCTTTCAGGGAAAATCCTTGGGGGCCAGGAAGCTGTGGCCCATTCTCATCCCTACATGGCATTTCTTCGGATCAAGACTCCAACTACAACAAAAGAATATGGGGGTTTCCTTGTACGTGAGGACTTTGTCCTGAAAGCAGCACACTGCTGGGGAAGTTGAGTTCATACATCTAAAGAAAACCCCACAGGGAATCCTCTCCTTTGGGGCTGAAGAGAAGAGCTCTGTGGAGGGTTGGTAAGCTATGGGATGTGAGGAGCAGGTCAGTGCAAGTGGCTTGTTATACAAAAGGAGAACGTGGATCAAGGCTGGATGGGAAGGAGACAGATTTTCCCCAAGAGCCCAGAGTGCACATGTGAGAAATTCAGAGTCTCACCTGGAGACACCTGAGCTCTGTGCATGACTGAGCACACTCCATCTGCTCCAGGAATTGCACCAGCCCTGGCTGCCAGAGATACTCAGCCCAGGGTCCTATTCCCCTACACGTCCTCCCAACTCCACCCTGCCCAGCCCTGAGTAAATATTTTCCTTCAGGGATCCTGAGCTGTATCCCCTGTAACTCTACCTCCCTGTGTTCTCTAGGAGCAGATCCATCACTGTCGTCCTGGGGGCCCATGACATCAAACACAATGAGCAGACCCAGCAGATCATCCCTGTAAAAAAAGCCTTCCTCCACCCAGATTACAACAGCAACTATTTCAATGACATCATGTTACTGCAGGTGAGGAATGCCATTCCAATGGGTCTTGAACACTTTAATCCTGGAGGATTAAATCTGCTGTCCTTCAGTCCAACCATCCTTCCTAAAATGAAGCCTTCACTTGTCTCAGTGCCATGAAGAAGGCAATCCCATGACTGGAGTTTTGTGGGCTGTTGGTTCATCTGAATTCCTTTTATCTGC